TAGATATAGATATAGATATAGATATAGATATAGATATAGATATAGATATTGATATACGGTAACTCAAACAAATGACCACGTGTTGATTTTCTTCAAATATTCGTAAAGTTTTTCGAGCTAAGTTCAACGATTTTTCACTAAAATTTAATTTTTACGGCTAAAAAATCGCGTTGATTTTGAGAATTTTTTTGCTGACTGATTTTTGCTTTTTTTCATATATGTAAGTATGAATTTCTTATGAAATAAAACGCGTGAGACCTTCAGCAACAATATTTTGAAATATCAACGCAAGTTTTTGTAAATTTCGCTTGTTATATTAAAAAACCCTAAAAAGTAGCCTCCAAAAAAAATTCTCAAAAATCAAGTAAATTTTTAAGCCGTTTGAAAGTTGCACTTTATTTAACTAAAAGTGTGTGGCCTATAAAACTGCATACCCAAAAATTTTCAAAAAATTCAGAATAAAAAGCGGAAATTTTGATTAAAATTTGTTTAATTTTCCTAAATTTTGTATAAAGTTTGAAGCTGTGATTTACATGGTTTTAGTTAAAGTGTAGACGATATTTTTTAAGAAAAACAACAACAAAAAATTAGCTCGAAAAACATTACGAATATTTGAAGAAAATCAACACGTGGTCATTTGTTTGAGTCACTGTAGATATACGATTTTTTAGTCCAAATATTCTTTATTAATTAGTTAACAAATGTTCTAAATATGAGTAAAAAAAACCGGAACTAAATGCAGTTTTTATGGACATCCCGACCCCAGCGCCACCTAGCTATAAAATTTTTAGTCGGATATCTAGATAGATATAGATGTATGTATATATGAATGCATAATTCGAGAAAGATTTTTTGTCATACCTTTGAAGTTTACCTTCTATGTAGTATGCAATACTAAGAAATGGCCGCTGAAGGCAAAATTCTTTGCCCGGTAGTAAAAACATATAAATCAGTTTCAATCTTTATACAAAATTCGGGAAAATTTAATAAAATTTCACTTTTTTTATCTGAATTTTTACAACATTTTTGGGAAGGCTGGCAACTGTGATTTATGGGTTTTTTTTTAAGCTTTAAAAATTAGCTCGAGAAACATTACGAATATTTAAAAAAATCAACACGTGGTCATTTGTTTGAGTCACGTATAACTGCGTACTTAGTTTTTCTCTCTGACGTCAGGATTTTTTAAAGACTTTGGAATTTAAAAAATATGATTATTTCAAAAAATTAAACTGGGAATCAAACATAATAATAATAATACCAGCAGTTTTACCCTCTTTTCCCGCCCATCCGCACGAAAGGCATAGTCCGCATGACGTACGTAACCATTATTTTGAATTTTTTGCTCTGAGTCACGAAAGCCAAGAGTTTGTTAAGTGCCGAGATCTAAATTGTTTAGCAACAGAACTAAATTCATCAGCTGACTTTATGTCTTTATGTTAGTAATTCATTTATGGAGAAGGCATAGTATCGCTTTCTTAATGCTGACAGGCGGATCTGATATATCAAACGTGCTGGAATGAGAGTTAAAATTCTGTTACTGTTAATTCTGTTAGTTTTACGAGTTTTCAAAAATAAGGGACAAAAGTGTCTTGATACATGAAAGGGAACATTAAGGCTACCTTCATCCAGAAGAAGCGGACTTGAAATTGAGCCTGTCAGTAATTTAACCATAAAAATTATACCTAGCATTTCCCTGCAACTGACAAGTGTAGGAAGATTAATAAGTATTAATCGGCTCGTATAAGGTGGAAGGTTATATTGAGAATCCCAACGGAAATTTCTTAAAGCAAAAAGTAGGAATTGTTTTTGAATTGATTCTATCTTGTCTGAGTAAATTTGATACCTTGGATTCCAAACCATCGATCCGTATTCCAGAATCGGTCTAACTAATGTTGTAAACAGAGTTTTAGTGATATAAGGGTCACTAAATTCTTTTGACCATTGTTTCACAAATGCATGTACACCTTTAACCTTGTTGGATGTCACATTAATGTAAAGATTAAAATTAAGTTTAGGATCCATTGTGATACCAAGGTCCAAAAAATTGAATACCTGTTCAAAGTTATGGTTATCTATTGTTTAAGAAATTGGCTGGACAGCTCTTCCCGAAAAGCACATTACTTTACATTTTTCCAGATTTAGAGGCATACTATTTACATTACACCAGTTAGTTATGCTGTTTAAGTCTGCTTGCAGCAAAGGCTTTCCTTGAATTGATACGTATGATTTATAAAGTTTCCTACCTGTGTTTGATATTCTGGTAAAAATATTTTTGCTTCTGTAAAATAACAAAATTATTGGTTACGGAGTCTGTGAATTCAAAAAATGGAAGAGGTTATATAATTCTTTTTATACGAAAGATGGTACCTCGGAGGTTTTCCCACACTAACTGGTTCTAGATCCGATTATTGGATCACGAAGAAATTAACGGTACTCTTAAATTTGTATAAGAGAATTGAAGTCGATTTTGTTTGCTTAAAAGTACTTGTTTGCTTAAAAAACTTGCACTTTGTACTTTTGTACTTATTGAAATGCTTCTTTTTACAATCTCATCTGGTACATTAAAATGTTTTTGGTTTCTTTTGTACAGAGTTAACGATCGTATAATATCGGTGAATGGAGTTTCTTTGGAAAATGTTGAGTATGCCACTGCGGTACAAGTGTTAAGGGATAGCGGCAACACAGTAACACTTGTTGTTAAACGACGCGTGCCTGTAAGTTCCGCAGCTCAAATCCGGCAGTCGCAGGCCATAAGTTCGATAGGAATAACAGCACCGAATTCGAGTGGAATACCCATTCATGGATCAAGCGTAATACCTGGAGCAATGAGTCAATCTAACTCTTTGAATGGTTCTCCTTTGCAAAGCAATGCAGCACAGCCAATTAAAGTGACTCTCTCGAAGGCAAATAAAAAGGATGATTATGGCATTGTTCTAGGATGTAGATTATTTATAAAAGAAATTTCGACGAAGGCGCGCGATCAACTAGCCGCAAACGGTTATTCCCTACAAGAAGGTGATGTGATCACAAGAATTCACAATTCAAATTGTGGAGACACAATGAGCTTAAAAGAGGCTAAAAAATTGATCGATGCCTGCAAAGAACGTTTGAACTTAGTTGTGTTGCGGGATATTACCAACCAGGCAGTAACTGCAATGACTAATCAATTGAACAACTCCACAACACCATCGAATGTATACATTAGTCACCAGGCACAAGTTTCGAATTGTAGTAATAATCTCGATGATCCATATTTAAATGGAGGAACGAATTATTCATCACAGAATCTGTATGTTCAACCGCCGACACGCTCTTTAGGACATGGAACATCGAATGGTTTAAACGACGAAAAAAGTAATCTAACACCAAGGGGTCGTTCTCGGGGACCCATTATGGATGCTGTTTCATTTTCACAACTTGATCGCCCTGTAACGCCTCCAAATGAGAGTCGTGCACGCACCGATGAGCCTCCGCGACCCCCACCTCCTCGAGGCAATGTTGGTAGAAGCGCGGACAGTTTTTATAGTTCCCGTCGACAAATTTACGAATCTGATCAGTTGTCGCAACCGAAGCAATCATCGGAGCCACGTTTCATATCGTTTCAAAAAGAGGGAAGTGTGGGAATACGATTAACTGGGGGAAACGAGTCTGGAATTTTTGTTACAGCCGTACAACCCGGCTCACCAGCATCTTTGCAAGGACTAACGCCTGGAGACAAGATTTTAAAAGTCAATGATATGGACATGCATGGCGTGACACGTGAAGAGGCAGTTCTTTTTCTTCTCAGCCTGCAAGATCGCATCGATTTGATTGTACAATATTGCAAAGAAGAGTATGACGAAGTGGTGACGAATCAACGTGGCGATTCTTTTCATATTAAAACTCATTTTCATTGTGAAAATCCCTCAAAAGGTGAGATGGCTTTCAAAGCCGGAGACGTATTTCGAGTGATTGACACGCTCCATAATGGCGTCGTCGGTTCGTGGCAAGTGCTTAAAATAGGACGAGGGCATCAGGAGATGCAGCGTGGTGTCATACCAAACAAATCACGAGCCGAAGAGTTGGCGACGGCACAATTTAATGCTAATAAAAAAGAAATGAGTTCTAACGAGTCCCGGGGAAATTTCTTCCGTAGAAGACGGTAAGCTTTTATTAAATTTTATTTCTATAGAATTTTAGAGTACCAAGATTCTCGAACAATAAACAATAAAGGCCTGCAAATGTTGAACTATAAAACATGCATGTCGTGAATAATAAACATCAGCTCGAAAGGCAGGTTTAACTTATGAAAGAAAATCCCAATACTTGGCATAATCTCTGAGCGCAAAATTGCAGAACCGTTGATAGTTTTAAAATATTTGAAATCGATTTGGCTCGAGTGCATTGCTGCAGCAGGTCTTATGTAGGGGACAGCAGATATACAAACGCCTCTTTAGACAGGCGGAACTTTTTAATAAATCTGTATTCGAAGGGCCACACTTAAACTCTCTTAAACGTTTTCTTCTTCTGGCCAGTTCCGTTAAGCTCTCATCCTCTGATGAATCGTAGCGCCATAACTCCGTTTTACTCATTTATTTATTTATTTATACTTCATTTTAATTTGCACAAATTTACATAAATATACCCAGCAAAAAATTGGTTATCGCTTTTAGTGGTAACGTGTTCTACAAGGCATAACGTTATAATGCATTGCCGGTAATGCAAAGTAGAATTGCCTACAATATTTTATTTATTTCGCTTCTTTGTTTCATTTCGGGGAATGCAAAGTAGAATGTCCTACAATGTTTTATTTGTTTCGCTTCTTTGCTTCATTTCAGGGAATGCAAAGTACAATGTCCTACAATATTTTATTTACTTCGCTTCTTTGATTCATTTCAGAGAATTCAAAGTAGAATGTCCTACAATATTTTTTTATTTCGCTTCTTTGCTTCATTTCGGGGAAGGCAAATTAGAATGCTGCATCGTAGTCAGCTGAAAAATAAAATGAGTATCGAAAAATTCTTTTTCTACCGTTACTTTTTGTGGAAATTTTTCTTGCATAAAAATCATGTTTTGCTTTGTTCAATTTGCAGCGAAATTGAAGTCAGTCAATGCAGTGAAGTACAAGAGTGAGGAAGTATAATTTTAAGCTTAATTAAATATGCATGTATGTACCTTCCGATTTTTAAGCAAAATCTCAATACATACATATGTATGTATAAAAACTTATTTATAAATATTTTAATTAAGTTTAATCTTTTAAGACATTTTCTGATTTCAATTTAGTATAAATAAGTATATACTTATATAGGCATTATACATTAGTTTCTCTGTAAGGCATTCTTTGTTCGCTTCTCTGGATTCGGTTTATCCATGCGTTCTCCCTTCGTTTGAAGGTAATGCTGCGGGCAAGGGCTTACCGCCAATGACATGCCCATGTTAAAATAAGGCCTACTTGAAGCGAAAGGGTAAGCGATTCCCATCGCATAGCTCGTTTCCACCTTTGTTTCTGTGGTAATCGTGTTTTTTGCTGGGTAAGCACACTAGTTAGTTTGCGCAATTTGCAAACAAAGTTTCTCAGGGGTCAAAAATATACTATTGTGAACGACCTAAGCGAGCGAAGTTCACAACAGCGCTATTCTTCATCGAATGAGCGTCATAATACCAAATGAAAATCGTTCGATCAGCACTTTCGACAACAGTCGAAGATCGAATACAATTCAAAATAGGGACCATTGTCGAATTAATTGAAATCAAATCATGCATAAAATCTATGCATGTCAACACAAGCAACAAGTGCGACACATGCGACATAGTCAGTATTATTATTAATTACATTTTGAGGAGTTTTTTTCAAATTTTGCAAGCTCCTAATATAGTAAAATTTATAACACAACTGTCTAATTAAAAATCTATATATATATTCATACAAGGCAGGATCAAACAGTATTAAAAATATGCTGCGGAAACACAACAGCGAACAAGAGCTTAGCTAAGAAGCAGTGACATGCTAAAACATGTTTGAGATGGAATGACATGGCATAATGGTCTGATTGTGCATACTTCGCATAATTTCGCACAACTTCGCATAAACTTCAAACTGTAATTTCGTATGTACATTGTATGTATTTCATTACCCAGAAATTAGCAGAACTTTTAAAAACTTAGCGATCTGCTGCGTTTAGATTTTGCTTCACATTTCCTTAAGTTACATTTTTATTACACTGGTACAAATAGTTGTGCGAAGTTATGCGAACTATGCATAATCAGACCTTAACACCTTGTTTGAGTTGACATTACATAGCAACGCATGAAATTTTTGTAAATGACATTTTTACAGAAAGTTTAGAATTTTGCAGAACTTCAATAAACAATAACAAATAACTTAAAATCATGTAACTTTCGCATACCAATCAATAGTGCACTTTTGAATAATGAGCTATTTTGAAGAATGTTATATTTTCTTGTATATTTCGACCTCATGACCTTCGGAGCTTCAGCTGTATTTTTTAATCACCTGCTTACAATCAATCTGTACATTATATTTATGTATGTACTTTCATCTTTGGTTTGTAGGTCTACTCACCGCCGTTCAAAGAGTCTTTCCAGGGAAAACTGGGATGACGTGGTTTTCGCTGATAGTATATCAAAATTCCCCGCGTATGAACGCGTACTTCTGCGTCATCCAGGGTTCGTGCGCCCTCTTGTACTCTTTGGTCCAGTCTCTGACTTGGCACGTGAAAGGCTTGCTAAAGATATTCCGGATAAGTTCTCAGTACCATTACAAGATGATGATAAGTCGAATTCCAAATGTCGGATAGTGCGATTATCAAATATAAGGGACATAATGGATCGCGGTAAACACGCTCTGTTAGACATAACGCCCAACGCAGTCGATCGTCTAAACTACGCGCAATTATATCCCATTGTCATATTCCTGAAGACTGACAGTAAACATGTCATAAAACAATTACGCCATGGGTTGCCAAAATCAGCACACAAAAGCTCTAAAAAATTATTAGAACAATGTCAAAAATTAGAACGTATCTGGTCACATATATTTAGCACACAAATAGTGCTGAGCGACGAAGAATCATGGTACCGAAAAATGCGGGATGCAATTGATCTACAACAAAGTGGAGCGGTGTGGATGTCCGAATCAAAGGTAAGAGGTTCTCCTGCTGACGTACAAATTATGTACATATATATCGTCGGATGAGTGAAAAATCGACCTATCTCGGCAGCCATCGAAAATGTCCTATTTCAGAATTTGATTGAAGAACGCCCTATTTCAAAGTTCGGTTCAAAAGCATCGTATCAGCAGCTGATTCAAAAACGCGCTATCTAAACATATTTTCAGTTGAAATAGGGTGTTTTTGAACCAAATTCTGAGATAGGGCGTTTATCAATCAAATTCTAAAATAGGGCGTTCTTCAACCAAATTCCTAATTAGGGTGTTCTTGAAAAGTTTTCTGGGATATGGCGTTTTCAAACCGGTAGCCTAGAAAGGGCGATATTCCACTCAGCCGTGGATATGTAGTTGTTTTTGAGTAGATTTTTTTTCGAATGAATAACAATCATATTCAAAAAAATTTTTATCAACTCGTTTTTCTGGCTAAAGATATTAAATCCAAATTTTATTTATGTAGGTCCGTTCCGGAAGTGGAGCGATCTGAAATCGGTATTATTTATAAAATTCTTTTTAAAGATTTTTTCTAGCGGTACTCCCTCAAACTGGTAAATTAGTTAGTATCCTCAAAACCTCGAAAGTCCCAAAACATCAATCAAACTCTTTGGTTATTGGACTTTAAATTATATATATTATAGAAATTTTCGTATGATCATGACCCGGTATTAAATAAAACTTCTATGTTTTATGTTTTGTTAATTTTCATTCGTGACATTACTGAACTTATTTTCAGAAATACAAATACTAAACATAACTTACGGTTACACTTAAATTATATAAAAATGTATCGTTATAACTGGTCAACTAATTAAAAGTGCAATATTTAAGGAAACTTAGAAAAACACGTATTCATCTTTTTGTTCAGCACTGTAACCGCCTAAGCGTTGTTGGCAGATCGAACACTTCAAGGGCCACCTCATCAGATGTTGTCATTGTCCACACTTCTGCTACGTGGTAGGCACGATGAGTGACACTTGGTATGTTAATTGTTTCGCTTTTTGCGATCCCGGGATTTCCGAAATGTTATCACAATCCCGGGATCCCGGGATTAACATTCCCAGTCTTGTGACATAGGAAATTTACACTGAATGTGTCCGAGCGCCTCGCTCAGGAGATAAAAGCAACAATTATCGAAATGTATCACTTAAAGGCCAAGCAGAGGTGGAACCGTACAAGATTACCCGGCAATTCTGGGTGGCCTACGATCCACTTAAAACCAAAGCTCTCTTAGGAATGAGCAAAGAAGATATCTACAAACTTACTGCAGTATGCACAGGGCACTAGATTGCCCTTCAAAAGGTCCTGTCGTAGCTGCGATGACCCTGGCTCAAAAGAGACAGTCGAACACTATGCGAGTGTCCAGCCCTCGCAAGGATGAGGCTAAAAATACTCTGCAAGCTATTCCTGCAGTGTGTTTTAGAGTGTACTTACCTCTCTCTGTATGACGTACTGAAATTCATTAAAGCCGCCAAATGGCTCAAGGTTTAAGGAAAATGGCAAACTTTTTCGAACTATTAAACTGTCATTGTTTCTCTTTGCACAAGATTGTAAGTGACTGCCCAGCTAGCAAAATTGCCAGAAATCTGCTAGATATCCGTCAGACTCGTCGGCAAAAAAGTCAGAAATCTATGTGATTTTGGCCGATATCGGTCAGAGAAGCGTATGGAGAGGTTGACAGGAAGTCTAACCGACACGACGTGGAAAACTCTGACTTAATTACCGACGATTCTGACGGACATGTAACAGATGTCTGACCAAATAATCATGGAAAATAAGAATTGTCAGACGTATGCCCGAAATCGGACATAATTCGATCAAACATATCGGATAAGGAAATAAATAAAATTTTCCATACACTTCGCCCAAAAATCTATTCGAAACCTGTATGGCTTGTTCAAATAGTCATCTTATTCCGACTTGTCTGATATCAGAAATTGTCAGGCAAATGTGCCAGCTGGGCACTTGATTATAAACTAGTTATATACATAAATATGTATTGTATTTTGAAATTAATGGTTTTCTGGTCTGGTCTGGATTGTTTACGTTATTTTCTTGTTAAAGTGCCTGTCTTATTTATTTATGAACAAAATAAAAATAAAAATTTTGAAAAAAATGTCGCTTACGTTATTTTGGCGGTTAGTGCTCGATATTATGTGCGCATATTTTCGATTTTCAGTGTTTTTTTTTTTGTTTTAAAATCCATGAATTTTACCTCCTTTTTGGATAATTATATTCTGCATTCCAACCTCAATGCGCAGAATGGCCTTGTTAACTTGATAAAAAAAATACTGTATCAGAGATAGTCGCATCGCGGCTGTGTTTATAGCCGTAGAGACAACTATAAGGCCATGTGCAACGAAAGAAACGTGAAAACCGAAGAACTGGAGCTTACCGCTATAAATAAGCTTTATATACATATATTGTTATTAAAACTTTTAATATTTAATATTCATAAATGGGACTTTCGAATTTTTAAATTGGATAACGAGGGCGTTTTTCAGAGGAGAATGAAATTTTCGGACCTTTGTTATTTTTTAGCCGCGAAAATTATATTTTTATCTCGGCATACTCGGATGTCGATACATCGACTCCGTCGTCATTGACAGGTGGCTCTGCCGCTTTCAGTGCTGTTCCCATTCAGCAATGTGGAGCAATGTTGCCTCCATGATTTAAGTACATACCGATTGCTGAGTGGAAGATCGACCTATCTCGGCAGCCAGTTCGAAAACGCCCTATCTCAAAAAACTTTTCAAGAACGCCTTATTTCAGAATTTTATTGAAAAACACCCTATCTCACAATTCGGTTCAAAAATGCCCTATCTTACTTCAAAATGTATTGAAAATGTGCTGATATAGGGTGTTTTTGGTTCGGCAGCTGTGATAGGGCGTTTTTGAAACGAATTCTGAAATAGGGCGTTCTTGAAAAGTTTTTGAGATAGGGCGTTTTCGAACTGGCTGCCGAGATAGGTCGATCTTCCACTCAGCAGTCGATATGCTGTGACCTCTAAAGACTGTTTGTTCTTACACTGTGGCTAGAAAAATTAAGGGGTTTTACTTTTTTAGCAACGTTTTTGTTGGGTTTTTAATCCGTAGTTTATTGAGCAGAACTTAACTTTTTGAGATTTTTCCATTAAGGTTGTAAACAATTTTGCAATTAAGGAATAGAAAATCGATGGCAATCTGTCTGCTTACCCTGCAACCGCAAATTGTGAATTAAATAAAAACATACTAACTACTAGGAATTTGCGATTAATCAACAAGGTGATTAATCGAAAACTGATTAATGAATTAATGCAAGAATTATAATTTTTGATTAATCAAAATAATTAATTTTCCGATGTTTTACATTTTGGTTAACCCGAAGCTGATTAATTTTATTAATCAGAAAACTGATTAATCTTATCGTGATTAATCATAAACCAGAAAAACTACTTGCATATTTTGTTTATTTAAAAATTGCAAAAAATATACATGCAAACATATCTATGTACATATCGATGGTAGAGCCAATTAAAGATTTTGTGTTTCGTAATTTAGCAATAATATGTCTTGGACCGTAAGTAGTTAAACGAAAATAACTCCACTGGTATTACTGAACAACGGCACAAAACGAAAAATGTCGTTATTTCCTATAAAATAATTATTAAGTGTCTTACTGAAAGTATGTAATGAATAAAAATGATCACTAACTTATCGACAGTTCTTGACTTTTGCCAATATTCACAATAAATGTGAGACTTGTGCCGCTGTTCAGTAGTAAGGAGTGCCTACTGCGGTTTTGTGACAAATGGCAAAACTGCGCCCCTGTCGGATTGGTAACAACTAGGCATATGTCCGTTGGTAGATATCGTAGCAAAGAACATAGAATTTGCAAAACTAGTCTACACATCTACCTCCCGGTAGTAATTAAATATTTAAGAACCGCATTATTATTACTACGCCTAAAAATATGGACTACGCTTCAGCGGAACCGCACGATACGAAATTTCTTTAAATGAAAATAATTGCTGCTATATATATGTATGTACATAAGAGTAATCTAACAATTTTTTTCTCGAGATAGGGTTTGTGGCACCTTCTAATATTTGTCCTCAGGCCGAAAGAGGTGCTGGTACCACACTTTACGTATAAGTTTGTAAGATGATCACGATACTCACATTTCACTCTAGAAGTATTGTGTACATATATTAATCAAACAATTGGTTAAGAAACCTAAGAACATTTCAATTTTAAATTCTCTAAAAAAATATCATCAGTTTCAGTTGTCATAGCAACAGTAGCTAAAAACTAAGGGGGTGCCCCGTTTCCTAGGATTACTTTTTTCCCCCCATATAAAAATTGGGCCACTCTAATGTACATAATGTATATTAGAGATGGTCGCGGGATAGCGGGACCCACGGTACTGATTTAAAATTGGCCGGGATGGGCGGTATCGGGAAGATATGTAAAAATATGACGGGCGGGACGGGACCAAAATCCTTTCTCGACACTCCCGATAAAACCGAACCCCCGCAAATTCACAAAATTTTCCTTAAAAACGATGTTTGAAATATGCACTTTTAATGTTTTATTCAGACGAAAAAGAAAAAAAAATTATAGGAAGATTATTTTTATTATTTAAAATTAATATGAAAGACATGAACATTTTTGTGAACCTTCGATCGGTTTGCAAACCTCGCCACACACGTTGAAATCTCTACCGCTCGTTTCAATTTGTTGTCCGTGTGTAGCCTGCTTTAGAGATAGATATCGGGACCCACGGGACCCGCGGTACAATTCTGAAAAATGTCGGGGTCGGGATTAAATATTTAGTCCCGTGCCCATCTCTAATGTATATACATTATTCATTATTGCAAAAACTGGATGAGCTACTCCGAAATCCGTGATTTATAAGACTGTTTGCTGTAGGTTCAGGTCCTTATATGAAAAAACATTGATCTTGCACAAGAAAGAAAAAAAGCCTCATGAAGAATAAG